GGTCGGAGCAGTTTTAACCGACACCTCCCGATAATCAATCATCCCCCCCTTAAGATCTGAGTATTGATTATCCACGGCCAATGCAGTTTTGGTCAGGGAAGAGTGGCGGCAAGGCCGAACTTTTGCATCGCGGGGTAAAGTTGCGAATCGAAGTTGGTCTCTTCTTGTGTTGAATATCAAGGGCTCCTGAGGATTCCGATTGATTTCCTCCGGAATCCCATGGATGTTCAAGGGAGTCCTATGGATTACTTATGGATTCCGATGGATTCCGAAGGAATCCCATGGATGTCTAAAGACATCCGATGAATTTCCTGTAGGGTCCTGAGGCAATCTTATAGAATTCATGAGGCATATTGCGCATGTCTTGCGGAATCTTACGGATGTCCAAAGGAATTAGATATGTACATCTCTATATATATATATATGTATATATATTGCCCCAGGAAGCCCCTGGGATTCCGCAAGACATCTATAGGAATCCTTCGGACATCCATCGGATTCCGTATGATATCCATAGGAGTCCTTAGGAAATCAATCGCGCTCCTTAGGACATCCATCGGATTCTTCCGGAAATCCACACGATTCTTGAAACATGCACAGGATTCATTTGACAGTCCATAGGATTCATTCGGGCATCCACAGGATCCCTTAGGACACCCATAGAATTCATCCTTCAGACATCAATTTGTTTCCTTTTTGGAAATCCATAATTTTCTTTAGGACATCCACCCGGTTCCTTTTTTTGAAGTCCATCGGATCCCTTAGGACCCCGAAAGGAGTTCTTAGGAAATCCTTCGGATTCCTTCGGACATCCACCAGATTCCGGAGGAAATCCAATGGGATACTTATGACATCCATCGGATTCCGGACCCTCCACGGGCCCCAGGGCCGTCAGGAACGACCCAGGATGAAGAACTGGTCGTGGGGGAAGGCCCCGGGATCCGACCCGTTTTCCTTGTGACCCGCTTCTTTCATGCCAAGGCGTGGGTAGGGTCTCACGCAGCGGGTCCAGGGCAAGCGGGGTTCAGCCAGAGCGCCAAATCCTGCAGGATCTTGCAACGCCGGAGCTTGGCTGAGCCGGGTTTGGGAACCGCGTGCGTTCCTGGAGGTGACCTTGCATACAGTCAACCGTGATAGTAAGGATGGGGCAACTTTCCAAGGCTACCCTTGCATCCTTGCCCCTTCGGTATTCGGCATCCTTCGGCATTCTGCTGCGCTCCGCACGGAAGACGTCAACATGGCGTTCCAAGGCCCTTGCATCCTCACCGCCCATCCTTACTATCCTGGCCGATGGCATTGACCGAGTCGGGCTCGACCGAGTCGTTTTTTTTTGTCTTTTGAACATCGGCTGGGCCGGGTCTGCACTGAGCCGGGCCAGCGCCCACAGGAGCGGGGACTTTGCAGGCAAGGACGCGGCCAAGGGGCACCGTCGAGGGGTCGGGGCCCTTGAGGAGGCCAGTATCGGCAGCGTGCCTCCACCGAGGGAAGCTGATCCCGATGTCGGCGATGGTGGTAATACTCGGGCTGTCGGGCTGCCCAGGTGGCCGAACTCTTACCGCCATCGCCCAACTCCAGGGTCAGCCTCTCCTGGCGGAGGTGACCTCCCGTGTCTTGGTGCTGGTCTGTTCCCAGGGCTTTGCCCTCTCTTGGCCTTGATGTGAGGGCCCCGCCTTCTGAAAGCAGTGCGTGGCCCGCTGAGCTTCTGTCGGAAGAGGCTCGTTCTCGACCCGCAGATAAAAGAAAATAGTGTCTTGGTGCCCAGCTCCAAGCCTCCGACGGGGCCCCTGCGACGGAGGGGCCGGCGGGAGGGGGCCGGGCTCCGCGGCTGCCCGCGCGGCAGCAGGCCGCCGAGAGCCGCGGCCTCCCCGCAGAAGCCCGCGGGCTCTCCCAGAGGCGGCTCCCGCGGTCGCCTGCGCGGGGGGGCGGGGCCTGTGGGAAACACACACACACACAACACACAAAACACACACTGCAAGAAAAACACACACACAGTCTGTGAGAAAAAAACATACAAAACACACACAGACTCTGTGTGTGTGTGTGTGTGTGTCTGTGTCTGTGTCTGTGTCTGTGTCTGTGTCTGTGTCTGTGTCTGTGTCTGTGTCTGTGTCTGTGTCTGTGTCTGTGTCTGTGTCTGTGTCTGTGTGTCTGTGTGTGTGTCTGTGTGTGTGTCTGTGTCTGTGTCTGTGTCTGTGTCTGTGTCTGTGTGTCTGTGTGTGTCTGTGTGTGTCTGTGTGTGTGTTGTGTGTTTTTTTCCCCACAGTGCGTTTTTCCCAAAGTGTGGTTTTTCCCACAGCTGCCACCTCTCCGAGGCGATCGCAGACATGGAGCGAGGAAGGCGTGCATGAGCGACGGGTCCCGTTTGCCCTGGGAAGTCGCGGAGTTCCGCCGCCGAGCGAGGCGGCACCGGCCGCATTTTGGGCAGGGCACTTCCCCCGATCCATGGATTTGGCGACCGCGCGCCAAATCCATGGATCGCTAATCCATGTTCGCGCGCCCCCGACTCTCAGGGGCGACGTTGGGGGCATCAGGCTTCGAGTTTCTCGGACGATGTCGTCGGTTCTCGGTGGTTTGCCCGCCTCAGGGGCAGCGTTGGGGGCATCAGGGTTCGAATTCGCTCCCTGACGCCGAAACCGTGACAATCTTCGAGTCTACTATACACCCCCGCTCTGACCCAGGCTGAGGGGATCGCACAAGGCTGCGACGCAGCAGATGGAGGGAGGAGGGGGAGGAGGAGGAGGAGGAGGAGGGGGAGGAGGAGGAAGAGGAGGAGGAGGAGGAGGAGGAGGAGGCCGCGACGCTGCAGCGGAGGAGGCAACAGCGTTTGAGTTTTTCGGACGACCTCGTCGGTTCTTGGCGGTTTTCCAGCCTCGGGATGCCTTCCAGCGGCTGCGCCTCGCCCAGAGCGTTCCAGGAGGTGCCCATCGTCCGGAACGGTCGCTGGAGAGCCGGGACCCGAAAGCCAGGGGGCGATGACGGGATGCCAGGGGGCAAGGACGGGGGTGCGGGGGGGGGGATTGGCTTAAGTCGGGCGTGTCCCCTACAGGGGGATTGTCGACGAAAGAGAGAAGATACTCGAAACATATGCCCAAACGGTCCAAAAAATCTTCCAAAAATAGTGCCCCGACTGTTTTTGGACTATTTTTGACTATTCCCCCTGTGGAGGGACAGGCCCGACTTACGGATAGGCTCAGGAGGGAACGCATCGACCCTCAGTCCCTGAGCGGGTCCCCTCCTCGCCCCCCCCCCCCCCCCGGAGAGGAGGGAGAGCGCCGGGAGTCCCTGACCGGGTCCTCCTCCTCCTCCTCCTCCTCCTCCTCCTCCTCCTCCTCCCTCCCTCCCTCCTCCTCCTTCCCCCCCCCCCCCTCGCTCCAGCGGGAGAGCGGGAGGGCGCCGGAGAGCGCCTCGGCCCGCGGCCGCAGTCTGCCGGGGCAGGCCGAGGGTGGCCTGGTCCGTCGAGGAAGCCCCGCCTGCGCCCTTGTTGTTCGGTCCTCTGCCAGTGCTCTTGCACTCCAATCGGGCCGGGCAGCTGGTTTCGGCCTCACCCCCCCTCCTCCTCCTCCTCCTCCTCCTCCTCCTCCTCCTCCTCCTCCTCCTCCTCGCCTCCTCCTCCTCCTCCTCCTCCTCCGCCTCTCCTCCTCCTCCTGCATGCTGCTGGTTTCGGCCTCACCGAGGGGCCCATTCCTCGGTACATGGGCGCCTCCCGGCGCCGGGAGGCGCCTGGAAACTCAGCTACGTGAGCTGATTCTCAAGCCCCCCCTTTCATATCCCCCCCCTTCGCCCGACCCGACTGATGCTCCTCATACTCTTGCGCTCCAAGGCGCCCCCACACGTGTATGCGAGTCAGCAAGCAAGTTTGCAGGCAGCCCGCAGAGTAAGGACGGGCAGCCTTCCCAAGGGTACCCTCTGCATCCGTGCCTCCTCGGTCCATCCTTCGCCGCTTTCGCTGGCCGCGCCCCGCTCGAAAAGCTCCGAAATGGGCGTCCAAGGCCCTTGCATCCTTGTCGCGCATCCTTGCTATACTGGCTGACTGTACCCAGAGATCCGATGTCGTGATCTTTTCAATACGGGGTCCCTGGAAGTCTCGACCTATTCCCCGGGACCGGTTTTCCATCCTGAATCGTTTTGTTGACGGTCCCGGGGCCCGGCGAGGGCCCCTCGAGGCAGAAAAATGCGAAAAACCTCCGTCTTGAGTTTTTCAATGTGTTGGATCTCTGGGCTCTGGGCACTACGCCCCCTCTGAGCTCGGGCCTGAGCCGCTCGGGAGCCGCAGGGGAGCAGAGCCCTGTCGCTGTCGTCACCCGTGCTGTGGCGGAGAGCGGGCGGAGGGGGGCGGAAAGGGGGCGAGCGGGCAGGGCGGGGGAGGGACGAGGTCAGGAGGGGATGACAAAACACACACAGACACCATTCATCGTCGATTTCCCCAGGGAAAGATGGGAAACTATGGGAAGTGGGGGGGAAGACGAGAATCCAAAAACTATGGGACAATCTGGGGAATCCCGGTATCTATGTGTATTTGTGTGTGTGTGTGTGTGTGTGTGTGTGTCAGGGCTCCTTCAGTCAGGAGGGGAAAAACACACAGACACCATTCATCGTCGATTCCCAGGAAAATATGCGAACACATGGGGGGAAATGGGGGGGAATACAAACGCCCAGAAAACGTGGGAAAATATTGGGAATCCTGCTATCTACAATGAACTGACGATTCCCAGGAAAATATGCGAAAATATGGGAAGTGGGGGGGAAGGCAAAAGCCCAGACAACGTTGGAAGATATGGGGAATCCTCCTGTTGTCTGTGTGTAGGTATTTGTGTGTCCCAGGGCCCCTTTCGTCAGGAGGGGAAAAACACACACAGGCACCATTAACCGTCGATTCCCAGGAAGATCTACGAAGAGATGGGAAGTGGGGGGGGGAAGACAAAAGCCCAGGAAACCTAGGAACAGATGGGGAATCCTGTTATCTGGGTCTATTTATTTGTGTGTCCCAGGGCCTCTTCGCGAGGGGACGAGGGGGCCCACAGGGTGCGTGCAACTCGCCCTGAAAGACGTACCAGCTGCGTCAGCTCGAAAAGCCTGGCTTCGCTCAGCCCGCGGCGTCGGTGGCGTGGTGCCCAGAGATCCAACGTATTGAAAAACTCAAGACGGAGGTTTTTCGCATTTTTCTGCCTCGAGGGGCCCTCGCCGGGCCCCGGGACCGTCAACAAAACGATTCAGGATGGAAAACCGGTCCCGGGGAATAGGTCGAGACTTCCAGGGACCCCGTATTGAAAAGATCACGACATCGGATCCCTGGGTGCGTCAGGATCGACATGCGTGGATTCCAATATCTTTTCCACGCGAATGGCCGTGTCTGCCAGGGCCACTGCCAGTGGTTGCTGCTGTCTCCGTGACTCTGTGGAGCGGTCTGCCGCGGCAAGCCGGGGTCGTACTGCCTTGGCGCCTGTGTCTGGCTGCAGGCGGCGGGGCTCCGAAGCCCGCGCGCCCAGGACATGTCCAGCCCATCTGGCGCCCGTACCCAGGAGGCCTCCTCCTCCTCCCCCTCCTCCTCCTCCTCCTCCTCCTCCTCCTCCTCCTCCTCCTCCTCCTCCTCCTTCCTCCTCCTCCTCCTCCTCCTCCTCTCCTCCTCCTCCTCCTCCTCCTCCTCCTCCTCCTCCTCCTCCTCCTCCTCCTCCTCCTCCCTCCTCCTCCTCCTCCTCCCCCTCCCCCTCCTCCCCCTCCCTCCTACTCCCTCCTCCCCCTCCTCCTCCTCCTCCTCCTCCTCCTCCTCCTCCTCCTCCTCCTCGTCCTCCTCCTTCTTCCTCCTCCCTCCTCCTCCCCCCTCCGCAGACGTGACGCGCTCCAGGAGGGGCCTCGCCCTCCGCGCACCCCCGCCCTCGGCGGAAGCCGGCGGAGGCAAGCTGGCTGCGGGCCCTCCGGCGGCAGGCGGCGGAGGCAGACGTAGAACGTCAACTCAGAGCCCCGAATCATCAGGGGTAACTCGGGTCAGGGTTAACTCGGGTTCGTTTTCCGGGAATCCGAACTCGAGTTACCTCGGATCCGAGTTACCCCGGATAGTTCGGGCGCCCAGAGCCCCACATCATCAGGGGTAACTCGGGTCAGGGCTAACTCGGGCTCCTTTTTCGAGAATCCAAACCCGAGTTACCCCGGACCCGAGTTACCCCGGATAACTCGGGCGCCCAATCAACGCTGTTGGACCTGTTGTTGGACTCGCGTTTTCGACGTCGTCCGTCTTGTCGCTCGTCCCTCCTTGCCTCTCTCCCTCGGCCTCGCCTCCCGTCCTCGCCTGTCGTGAGTCACTCCCTCCCTTCGGGCGTCCGTTGCCCTCCCCGGCTGCACCGCGAAGAGAGACTGCCGCCGCGCAATTATCACACCATGGCGCCACGGCGCCCGCCTCCAGCGCCCCCGCCGGCGTAGACTCCTCAGGTCCGAGGGTTCGGCAGCGCGCCTGGGGGGAAGTGAGAGGGAGAAGGCCTTCTCAGAAGGCTTCTGAGAAGTCCCGCCGCCCTCTGAGAAGGCCCCCTCCTTCCTCTCCTTCACCTCCGCCGAAGGGCTTCCTGGAACTGGCCTCGCGGCTGCTGTGTTGGCCCAGGGCCGAGTTTCAAGGAGCACTGGGGATAGCCCCCGAGGATCGCTCCCAAGCAGCGCCCCCGGCCGATATCCGGGCCAGCCATGCGAGAGAGGCGGCAGGTGCGGGTTTCAGCAGCGAGCTCCGAGGAAGACGACGACTCCACGGTGGAGGTCGGAAGCGCCTGCGCCTGGAAGGAGTTCAGGCACAAGTTCGGCCCCCACGGCGTGCAGATAACCGTCGGCATCCTTGTCGAGATCGCATGGTGTGCTTGCATTGCGGGTTGGCTGGACAGGGCAGAGAAGGCTTGTGGGGGATCCAAAGTCCTTCAGGCTTTCGATCTGGTTCAGCATGACGAGTACAACGTCAAAGAGTTCAACTGGATCGTTTTCTTGGTTTGTCTTGCGGGGCGATGGATCGCCATCACCTTGTGGTTCCGAAAGCAGCGGCGTTTTGGACGGTGCACTGTCACGGCCAGTGCCGCGTCGGCGATGTACATCTTGTTTTCGGTCTCGCAGTGGGTGATATATTTCGGGGCCTACTACTTGGTTCTGGATTCGTTGACCACAGTCACGTTCAACCCTCAAGTGCAGGTCAAGCGAATCGCCGCATACTCCGACACACGCGCGACCAACGCCACACATTTGACCGATGGTGCTATCGACGTGTTGCACGCCGACGATGCTGTCCTCAACCTGACAATGGCCCACTGCCTGGAAGAACATCCTCCCTTAGATTGCGTGTCGAGGGTCAACCTCCATGTAACGTGTAAAATCGAATTCGATCCAGATGTCTGCAGCGGCTACACTTGGATGGGAAATGGATCAAACATGATGAAATGCTGCGTTAAAGACATTTACAGTCTGACGAGACCAGACGTCCCTGTGCCCTTCGCACTCGGACAAGATCTCGATACTATGTTCATGCTCATGCAATGGCTGGCGGTGTTGAGTATATCATGGGCTCTCAAGGATCTCCCGATAGTGCCAAGCTCAGCCCAGAGTTCTGGGTTTTTGAATGGCTGCTTGCTGGGTCTTATGGATGCGGTCGTCTTCGGCGCTTACTTGGTCAACGACAGGGTGTTGTACCCCAGGTACGGCATCAACTCAGACGGGACAGCCGCAGAACGCAAAGACAAAGGCTACATTAATCTCCTGAGGTTCACGTGGATTGTGGCCTTTGTGCTGGCCACGTTGTCACCAGTGCTGTACACCTTCTACAGCCACTCTCGAGAAGAGGATTCGAACAAGAAAGCGTGAAAGCACTACATCAACTTAAACGCTTGGAGCTTCGCGCGGATTTCTTGGATCGGCGCTGCGCCCCCATGGCGGCGCCTCCGGCGCCGCAGCCCATGACGCGCTCCGCGCGCCAGGGGGGCCCAGCGCCGATCAAAGAAATCAGCGCGAAACTTCGAAAGCTTATGCTTATGCAGCTTTTTGTTTTTCTCCAGCGGAGGACGCCGGCGCGGGAACCGAGGACGCGCCGCGCGATTTCGCCCACAGCGCGGAGAGCTTGATCCGAAGCCTGCAGATGCTCGAGCGCCAGAGTGCGCTGGATCATGTAGAGGAGTGCCTCGCGATCCAGCGCGAGGCGTACGCCCAGCACTCCGTCGAGGCAGACCAGTCCCTCACTCCAGTAGCAAGAAACGGCACGAGCATAAACTGAAGTCGGGCCAGTCCCTCCAGAGGGGGAATCTTCCCAAAGCTGGGGACGATTTTTTGAGTATTGCTTGGCTATTTGGAGGCACGTTTTGAGTATTCTACATTTTTCGCCCAAGCAACAGGCTGGGGACGATGTTTTGAGTATTGCTTGGCTATTTGGAGGCACGTTTTGAGTATTCTAAATTTTTCGCCCCAAGATCCGCCTGTAGGGGGACGTGCCCGACCTAAGCACAACCCTTCGGAGCTGCGCGCGGATCTTCCGGGTCGGCGCCTGGGCCCCCGCGGCGGCGCCTTTGGGGCCGCCCCTGGCGCGCCGCGCGCGCCTGGGAAGGGGAGGGGATCTGGCGCCGATGCATGAAATCCGCGTGATCCTCGGAAAGGTTCTGCTTTTCAGTACCGCCTGACCGACCCCACATCCCCATCCCCCTCGAGACCCCCACCAATTTATCCCCCCCAGTCGGGGATACACCCTTCGAAACCCCCTCGAGACCCCCACCAATTTGTCCCCCCAGTCGGGGATACACCCTTCGAAACCCGAAGGGGACGACATATATCCCCATCTCGGGGGGCAAATCGGCCAGTGGGGCCCAGGCCACGCCGCTGGGGATGTGGATCGCTTAAACGATACTGAGTTTTTGCACGTTGATGCAGGTGGACGAGACCCTCTTGGTGAAGGTCGCACCCGAAGGGCACGAGAAGCTCGTCGAGAAGCTCGTCACCGCCGACAAACTTTTGCAGGACCTGTCCCTCGCAGTGGGCGGGCCTGCGCCCCGACCGGGAAAGGCAATCGAAGACCAACAAAGCTACGTATCGCACCCTTGCGGCAGAAGGCCTCGAGCAGCTTTGTGCTGAGGCGTGGAGGGGGTCATAGACGGAGGCTCCTAGAGCGACGCAGAGGGGGGCCACGGGAGACAACGGGAGATCACGAGAGACGGCGGGAGACCACGGGAGGCTATTGGAGACCACGGGGAACCCCTGGAGACCACTTGGAGCCCATTGGAGGCCTCTGGAGACCACGGGAGGCCACGGGAGACCACGGGAGACCACGGGAGACCACGGGAGACCACCGGAGGCCACGGGAGACCACGGGAGACCACAGGAGACCACGGGAGACCACGGGAGACCACGGGAGACCACGGGAGACCACGGGAGACCACGGGAGGCAGCGGGCGACATCGGGAACTGACTGGAGGCAACGGGGCGCAACGGGAGACCACGGGAGACAGTCGGCGCCCGACCGATTCCACATCACGATTGCCCCGTATCCAGTTCTAAGAGTCGTAAAGGACGCTTTGGGACCCTTACGGCCAGCTCGGCAGCCCCCTTACGTCAGGTGGGAGACGGCTCCGATCAGGGATTGGTGCGCCTCTATGAGCCCTGTATGTATGTATGAGGACGAGGAGGAAGTGGGCGACGACGACGACTACTACGACGATGACGACGCCGACGACGCCGACTACTACGGCGAAAGGGGGGTGGAATTGAAGAGCTGGCGCCGCCATCGTAGAATCCCGAACGGGCCGCAGGAGGCATCGAATCTGAAGGGCGGCGTCGATAACGTGGATTGTTGATTGGTGGTTTTCATGCAGCAACAACACCACGTACAAAGTACATGCGTAGGGATTCCTTGGTGCATATACATAAATATGTATATGTATAGATATAAATACGATATATATATATATACACGATATATGTGTGTGCATATATATATATATATATGTCTGTACATTATCGGAGGTGAGGGGGTGAGATCGAAGTGGAACGGAGAGCC